CCCCCCGCTTCCTACGCCCCTGCTTGATACAACCGGCCTGGGGCTTTCAACTTCTAGGCAGAATAAAAATTATGTACCGGTACATAAATACAGATGCGATGCCATCATACATAGTGGTTACGATGATGATGATATGCCAAGGTTTTGGAAGATTCGCAAAATTGTAGTTGTTGCCAAAAATCTTGCAGCAATCCAGTTTGTGATGCAGCCACTAGATTATACCATCTGTTTTAATAGCCATTTCCAGGGTTATGAGGTTACCATTCCAGATAATGACCAACTGATGGAAATCCGACACCTGCTACATCCCGAAACATCTTTGCAGGCCATATGGTCGTCGTGTTGGTGCAACATATGTTTGTACCAGATTTGATATTGGTACCAACAATTAGATGTACTCTCATCCATGATCTGGGAAATTGAAAAGGAGAAAGTATATGTTTACAATTTTATAACTTTGTTATATGGGAATGTAAATCTCTAGCCCTCTCTACTATGCATATAATCAGCCACTTATACAGCAAAAGTGGCCAAATGAATTGTGTATCAGATATTGTTAAGGAATGTACAGTACCTGCTTTACTCTTTATCACATGAAATGTGCTGTTGTCATGTGACAATTATTTTTATAGTTTTTGTGACTCAATCTCACTGAATGTAAAGAGTTGATACCCTAAAAACTATATGGCATTATTTTGCATACATGCAGTGAACCCTCTCCTATAGAGGAAGGGGTCACACCATATGAATGCCGTCGCCACTGTATAAGCCTAAAAAGCCTACAAGGCTTTCCATCTGGTTTAAAAACAAAGCAGAGTGAAGTACTCATAATGAAACAACTGTGTTGCATGATCTATACAGTAGGTAACCGTTAACAGTTTAGCAGATAGTGTTGGCATACACTCTGGTTGACCAACTATGTTGAAAAGGTTTACCTTTGATGAGGAAAATAATGTCCAGCATTGGACAAAGTAGAAAATAATCCCAGAGCATTAGCCATTTTCCAGTTGAGACTGCAAAGCATGTGTGGATTGTTTGGAGTGCAATAGACATCGCCAACCAAAAGACACAGAACCAATACATCCAATAGTGTAAACAACTTTTAGGGAATTTTTTTAGAGATAATGAGGCATCTTTTAAACTTTCTTGCACCAATTTTAACTCATCAAGTTTCTTCTCACTTTGTGTTGCCCCTCCAAACAATCCATAGATGTTATGCGGATTGTCAATTCGGAAATAGCTAATTGTGGTCTAAGGCTCAATGAATTTACAAATGCATGACAAACTCTTGCTACTTAATGGGTAACAATGTCTCATTGAATTATTCCAATGATGATGTCATATGCATAGCATGACAAGTAGTTTTTTTGTCAGTTCATTCACTAAACCACATGTGTAATAGAAGAATCACGGCTAAAAATATATTAAAAGTATTGGAAGGTACGTTTTGTTAAGTGTATATTATAGGTCAGCAAATGGTGGTCAAATTGCAGGAGCTGCTTGAAAATTAAACATGATGTATTTCTCATAATTCTTTTAATTTTCTTGCTATCAAATATTTGAGTATTAGGGACCGGTCATTATTTATGGTAGGGGTGGGGGCCGAAGAGAAAGTATAATGAAGCCGGAAAAAATCATTTCCCCACCTTATTCAAAACAATATTTCTAGCTACCCACCGGTGGAATGCCAGGAAATTTTTTACCCCACCCAAACCTGTTTTGTTGCAATGTCAAAGGTTCAGACATAAAATATGTAATGAAACAGTTTAGTATTTTGTATGTGTATTACTCATCAAGGTACAAAATTGCCCTTGATGAGTAAGATATCATCTGCTGTTAGAGAGTAAATAATAATTATTGTAGGGTGCTTTGACCACAGTGGCCATTATAATTAAAAGGGAATTGGACTGATTGGTAATACTTGTTTACCAATATCCCTTGTCCCTTATTTCCTTTGGAGTAATTAAAGCACACTAACAGTCATGCCTTATTATGGGTTACCCCTACAATAGCAAGGTACTATATAAATAATTATAGTTATCTGAAGGCTTAAAATTTGTCGACTTGTAAAATTGAAATATGAATGGGTTTTATAGTTTGTATTCAACGCTATATTCCCTTTTCAGTTTTCACAAGATAGTGCAATGCTAGTCCCATAAACATAAATATATTAACTATGCACTGATATGAAACCTGTACAGCATATATTTCAATATTTTAGAACATTAACCGTATTTCACCACCTTATCTCTTTCCCACTTTAAAGTTTCACTGTATATTATTTGGTTTCTTTCACATTCTTTCATTTCTTTATTAATTAAAATTCAATTTTATTTTGAAAGAGTTTCACAAAATATGTGCTCATGCACCCATGATTGCAACTATCTAAATTCTAAAATTTCCTCTGAAATTCCTTTAACATTTCCTTACTATAGACAATCACATGTATTATCACAGAATTTTAAAGGAATTCCTTAAGAATACCCAAGGAATTCTTGAAGTTTATGAATCAATTTAATATTTTAATTTGTAAACAATACAACGATACTAAAGTATATGTCCCATGTGAGAATATCTGAATTTAGAAAATGATGTTACTGTAAATTAATGAGAAAAAATTGCTGTTATACAACGTGAAGATAAAGATATTCATCCTCATTCCAAGTATGATTATATAAACAATTAAATTAATCTGTAAAACGGGTAAATGGATTTCTCTTATTTTATCCATCTATATATGGTCTGCTAGTAAAGAAAAACAGCTAGTTGCCAAAGACTCAGAACAATGTTTGAGCTGAACATATTATGAACTAGCCTTTGGAATGATTCTCCAGATTCACAAGGGGCATATTTCATGATTTTCTACCTGAATTGTCCACATGGTTTACAAGCACATACTGGATATAAATGTTAGTTATACAGTGTCAAGTGTAGATGCCCAAAAATTAAATCCTGAAAATTTAATAGACTGTACATATACTTTTTGAGATGTGTAATAAGGGGATGTTTATATGGGGGCGAGGATGGATGCCCGGGGTTAGGGGCTACAGACTTAAGATCACTTTTCTTGAGGCAAGATCTCGGGCTAAAGAGGCGGGATCTCACTTAGCTATAGCTGGACCAGCTCTTTACCCGTACATACACATGTCAAGGTGAACTTTATTAAGAAATAACCACAAAGGCAGGATCTCGCCAAAACTGGCCAACTTGGGTACCCTAGCTGGGGTTGGCTTGCAGTTTCACCATATAAACAGCCCCTATACATAGGTATTATAAATTTTGTCTGGTAATTGGAGTCTTTGGAGATTTTGTGTGTAAATGAATATAAAAATGACCCGTTACGGGTGGATTGAGGGAGGTGTTTCTGTCAACATTTTGGAAAGCAATATTTTATTAAAAAATTAGAATAATCACATATTAAACTCTGATAGTAGTGTATATTGTATTGTGTGTGATTAAAGTAAGGTTATTTTTTTACCCCACATCTGCACTGGGCTTTCAGAATTATTCAGAGTTGGTGTCTGTTTTGATAAAGTAGGCGTCTGTGGGGAGGGGACGGTCTAGGGAGTCTTAAAGTCATCCAAATTAACATTGATTAGATAGCATTGATTAGATACAGTACGTTAATTAGATAGAAACAAAACACAAATTATGATGTATCACTACTTTCACTGTCGATTTCAAGTCACTTTTCAATGCGTGATTTCCTAGTTCGTTGCGAACTTGCCAATTACTGTACCTTTCCATGTTCGGAAATTAGGCGCAAAATTCGCAACAAAGTTCGCACGTTCATTTCAATCTTTGAACTTCGTTTGTAAACAAATGTTCATACTCAATAGTAATAACCAATTCAAAGAAATACAAACCTTCTTGGCAGGCCACTAGCTGGACCAAGAACTTTCCATTGAATTGTTAATTTCAACTTGAACTATAAACAGTTGTTTACAATAGTTCAAACGTTGAAACGTACTTGCGAACTTTGTTGCGAAGTTCCTGCCCAATTTTTGAACTTGGAAACGCAATTGGCAAGTTTGCAACGAACTTGGGAACCGCGCGTTGAAAAGTGACTTGAAATCGACAATAAGATGGCAATCAGTTTTACGAAATAGTACGTCGTTTTCGAAAATAACCAGGCTATAAAGTATAGACTAAGTTGAGGAAAAATAACTTTGTTTGAAAGCTTAGAAGGAAGGAAAGCAGGATTGATGTTTCAAGAACTAAACAAAGTAACCGGCGGTAAACCTCGCGCCACCCGCCGGAGGTCCGGCGGCCGCCGGATTATTTTGAAAGCCCTGTCTGCATGCAAGGATTTTTTGGTCACCCCATCTAAAGCAAGTATTATTTTTCAGTTACCCCACCATTTTCTCTTCGCCCCCCACCCCCTGCCATAAATAATGACCGGTAATACATCTTGGAAAGCATATAAACCATTTTCTCATTTTGATAACTGTCAGTACTCAGTATAGCACCATTTGATGCCCTATCACACTTGTTGGAATAGGCAATTCCAGCTTTTAGTTTATGCGTGCAGGGGTTGACGGGAAGTAAGGTATCATATCACTGATTATGATGAAAAAATAAAACTGGCGGCAGTGTAAACACAGAGTGACAGCTTATATTTGTAAATAGTGAAATATCTTAGTTGTTTCAGCAGTTTTTATTGAAATTTTTCACCATAAACAGCAATATGATACTTTACTTCCCATCATCCCATGCACACATAAACTAAAAGCTGGAATTGCCTATTCACTTACTGAATTGTTCATTAACCCATTGAGTCGCATTGCACCCTGATGCACCCTACTTTAGTATTTTACTCTGTCTAACGCCAGACGATTTTACTCGTCATGGGGAGAGCGCTGGCACTTAATGGGTTAACAGGCCTATGTATCTGCCCATGTGTCTAGTTAACCCATTGAGTTGCATTGCACCCTGATGCACCCTTCTTTAGTATTTTACTCTGTCTAACGCCAGACGATTTTACTCGTCAAGGGGATAGTGCTGGCGCTTAATGGGTTAAGATATATGTACATATATTTTATAAATATTTAGTCGTACTGTATTAATATCAAAATTGTAAAGACATTTGATGATTTTTTGTATAGTAATATAATTAATATATTACTTCTAAATGCCATGCCTGTGGGGAGTGGCAATCCCAGTTGAAACAATAAATATTGGGGGTATATATACTTGAGTTTTTTAATAAGCCTGGAATTCGTCTGCAAATACAGACAACCTTTCAAGGTGTGTATATATGGTATCATAAAAAGAATCTGAATTTCAAATCAGCCATATGATCAACCAAATAACCAATTGGTCCAATTCGAACTGAACATGCAAAGCAAAAATTAAGTTGTAAACTACTCTTCAGGGGCCGATTGTATCAAAGGTGTTTAGCCTGAACAGTGCCAGTGGATAAGTAAAAAAATATCAAACAAATTTATGAACTATTGACTACAATCAATATTTTCTGTCTAAAGATAACAACTATGCATAGAACAGCACATTTAGTTGATGAAATTTAATTATTTACCAGATGAATGGGAATGTATTATAATTTTTTTGCCTATCCACCGTTTAAGCTAAATGCCTTTGATGCAACCTATTAAACAACCAACCCCAGGAGCCGGTTGTTCGTGGCGCGTTTAGCCTAAACGGTGGATAAGTCCAGAATATCAAGCAAGTCTGTGTATTCATTGGAACAATCAAAATAGTTTTTCAATCTGAAAAGAACACTTATGTATACAACAACATATAAAAAAAAACATTTAAAACTTGTATTCAGTTATTCACAAAACGAATGAAAATTTGACTTATCCGCCGTTTAAGCTAAATGGGCTACAAACAACCGGTAGATAAACTAACCTTCGAAATGTTCTTCATCCATAATTTGATTCTTAAAGCTTTCATTCCTTATATATAACAGGAAAATTCACAGATCTGTTTATAAAATATCAACTTGAACGCCATATGTAATCACGTGACACTTGCTCTTGACGCCGGTAACCCTCAAATGGAGTTAGATTCACTAACCCCCCTTACGTGGTGTTACTTTTGAATACTGATTAGCTTGCGAATGTAATCCCTCAAAGGGTATGATTTTAACTCCAGTTATGGAGTTAAAAGAGCTCAAATTTTTAACTCCCGTATTACCCCTCTAGAATCCCTTCAAAGTGGTGTTAAAATAACACCCCGAAAATAACAGTGTGGTATTTGTATTTTTCATGCAGAAGTAAAATCCCAACCTTTGCAACTTTCATGCTTATTTTTCTTTTTTATCTGGGTATGTAGTAATTTAATTTTATGCCACTATAATGTGCTGTTTTTCAAGGGCTTTTTAATGCAGTTATCGGTCCTAAAAGTAACATTCCCGTTGAGATATGACAATTTCAGTACGGCCTACTTTTACGCAAACGCGAATTACAATGGCAACATTCATGCTTAATTTTCTCTGTTATCTGTGCATGTATATAGTAACCCAATTTTATGCTACTATAATGTGCTGTTTTTCCAGGGCTTTTCAATGCAGTTATCGGATTAAATATACCTAAAATGCCCGTTGAGATATGACAATTTCAGTACGGACTACTTTTACGCAAACGCGAATAACAATGGCAACATTCATGCTTAATTTTCTCTGTTATCTGTGCATGTAGTAATCCAATTTTATGCTATCATAATGTGCTGTTTTCAAGCGCTTTTCAATGCAGTTATCGCCTAAATTTACCTAAAATTCCCGTTGAGATATGCGACAATTTCCGTATATATATACGGCCTACTTTTACCGCAAACGCGACTGCAATTGCCACTTTCATGATTTCCTCTGTTAAGACTGTTATCCAGTCGTGTTGTAATCTAATTTTATGCCATGAGTGTAATGTGCTATTTTTGAAGCAAGGCATTTTGTAATACTGTGGACTGGTGGGGCATTTGCCCCACTGGGCCCCTTCCTCTGCCCCGCAACTGAAAAAAATGGCCTATTGCCCCAAAGCCAGGTCCCTAGGACTTGTATGCATGAGTAAATGAGTTTAACATTGAAAAAAAGTTTAAAAAACTAAATTGTTGGTGCAGCATACTAGTAACTGAACTTATGTTGTGTTTGAACTGAACTTATGTTGTATTTGAATGTTTATATAGCATGCAATTTATTACAAATTTCACCTGATTAAAACGTTTTTAAAAAATGTGTCCTTAGAATGCACGAAATGCTATTTCAGAGACCCAAATTTTAAAACCATCCCTAGCTAACTCGAGCCTACGGTACTCGGCTCACACCTTCGGCGATCGTACACTATCCTGCATGGGGGAGGACAAGGAGAGAATGGGCCCATATGCAATTTTGCCCCACCCTGACTGAAGAATCCTTAAAAAATGTACTGTTTTGAAGGACTTTTCAATGCAGTTATCCGTTTAAATACCTAAAGTTTTGACGAGCTAGTATACCGCCCAGATAACAGACAAAATTAAGCATGAAAGTTGCAATTGTAATTCACGTTTGCGTAAAAGTAGGCCGTACGGTTTTCAAAAAAATGGAGCGACTCAGTTTTCAAAAAAATGGAAAATTCACCATTTAGATCGGTATTTTAATAAATTGTCAAAATAATTGAGTATACTAAAAGAAATCATTTTATGAAATAAAAATTGGGAGTAGGCTGTTGCGGTATTTGAAAAAAAACGAAAACCGATACCGGAAAAAAAATACCGATAATACCGATATCTTTTCGCGATTGGATTTTGCTTAATATTATGCAAAAATTTGCTTAATTTTATGCAAAATTTTCTGTTTTCAAATGCTGCCAAACAGCCACGATATAATAGCTTTGACTTATCGGGTTCGTGATATTTTCAATAAAGTGTGAGGCCAGTGATCAGTAGCCTGTGATGTGTCCGCTTTAGGGACCGGCCATTATTTATGGTGGGGGGTGGCATCGAAGAGAAATGATTTTCGTGGCAAACATTTTGCTGACCCAACCATTAAAAAGTCAAAAATTTGATTACCCAACCTCAAGTATCAATTAAAAAATAAATAACAACCCCTGGCCAAAAACTTTACAAAGGAATACCATTCAGTTGTCACACATGTCCTTTCTGTGACACAAGTTTGATAACTAAACTTTCATGTTGTATGTACATGTACTTTCTTTGGAGACACCATTTGTCTCACAACAAATCGAATATGATCAAAATAGTGACTCTGATTGGATTGATTCACATATTGTATTGACATACGACTGCTGACATTGCTTTTCAGTCTCCAATATTTAAGTGAGTCATGCTTTGGAAATGACAATAACTTTTTATTACCCAACCCTTGAGTTGTTTTGTTTTTCATTTACCCAACCTTTTAGTTACTCAAAATTTTGTTTACCCAACCCTTTTCTCTTCGGTGCCACCCCCCGCCATAAATAATGACCGCTCCCTTACGAATTGAAAATGCATATTACTTAATATTAGCATTGATTACCGCACTGGATGAAACATGTGTGATATTTTTGTCCGGAAAATTGTTTCAAAACATTTTATTCAACTGCGAGTTCGAAACAAAGATCGTCCTATATCACCAGAAAACTAACAATGTCCAATGAGGTTAGTTCTTGCTTTTCTAAAACATTTGTAATCCACCGTTGTTTACGTACTAAAAGTTCACGAGCGAAATTACATATTACCTATAGTATAACTAAGCGAAATGACATATTACCGTACGCGTACCTTGCAACGTACGCCAAGGTAACGTATAAACAAACACGTTTTAGATCGCGCTCTAACCTTAATTGACGGATTTTCCCGCGGAGTTAGCACATTGATCGTCTTTGTCCTTCTGAAATAACTTCAATCAGCGCTTGAGAAAAACTGGTTATGACGTTTAAATATACAAACGTAAACGTGATATCGATAATACCGAAAAATATCGATATTCCGATATATTGAAAATTCCAATATCGAGTAATCGGTATTTATAAAAAAAAGATAATTATCGGTATATCGATATACCACAACAGCCTAAATTTGGAGGTCATCGATGTCTTTTACAAGTTAAATTACTGTAATTAAATTCAACCACCCATAAGTTCAGCGAATCTACCAGCATTTTTGTCAATGTGGTCATAGTTAATAGAGATGTGGCATAGCTAAAAAGATTCGTGCAAAATTTTGGCAGTTCATGGTATAGTTCGGTTTTAAATTTTTTTGCGATTTACTGACGCATGACCCACGACGCACGACCCACGACCCACGACCCACGACCCACGACGCACGACCCACGACCCACCCACCCACGCCAAATAGACAATCTCCATGTAAACATCTATTATTCATAATATAGTGACCAAAACGAAATGGTCCCGGTTAATTGACTTCGTTCCATGCAGTCTCATGTGAACTGGACCTAATAAAATCCTTCAAAAGTTGGCTAATTTTTTCCAAAACGTCAGTCAATATAGTTTTGTAGTACACCAATCCCAAGATTATGGGTTGCCTGAATAGATATAATTCCTCGAATCATGATTTTTGAAGTTAATTTGATAGATATTTTTAATTGCATGGATTATTGGCTCATATTTCTCTGCTATTTAGCCTTAATATTGTAGCCTTTTTCAGGAAAGGAAGTGCAAACAAGCGCATACAATAGCAATTCTTCTTCAACTATAAATGGGCAACCACTTCTAAATAGCAAGGAAGTTGCATGACTGTAGGGATATGGATAGCTTTTTCATGGGCTCTGCTCAGTCTGTATATTGGAACTTATGTCGAGCCATTGCAAGTGAATTTAACAAAGGCCAGTGAACAAAATTGATAAATATATACATGATAAAGTTGCACATTTCAGCTTGAAGTTTGGTACTATTTCAACTGTCAATTCGACCTCGAACTTTGAAAGGTTCAAAACCTATCTGTCTCATGTTTGCTCACTCTATATATCATTTTGTCTACGCAAAGGTTTTCATCATAACGTAATAACAAACTATAATTTAGGTTTTGGAAATCATTGGTTTTTTATCAGGAAGCAGTGCGCGCTAACACTCTCTTACAACATAATTTTTCGACGGCCATTTTTAACCACCAAATTAAACAGAGTATAGAAATAAAATAACACCCGAAATAAAGTTTTTCGTTACTTAAATCTTATCTTTAAGTTTCTTGTAATAGCTAAAAGTAACAAAAACATATAAATTTTACCCAAGTAATATTTTATGAAGCAATAGTTTCAGCATACCTTCTGATGGGTCATATACGCGTAGTCATATTTGTTTACAATTAGAACGTCTTACCCCCCGCGAAGCCCGCATCACGGATGGGGACGCTCGATGTATTGCCGTTTCTACGCCCTCTCTCCCTTCGCCCTGATGCCGATATACTCCTCACTCCTCCTCTGGTGACGAGCATAATAACAATAAGCATAATTATACGTTTTCAATCGTGTGCCTGTTTTCTTCCGGCTTTTCGTCGAGCAAATGCAAAGAAAATGCTGATTGTTCGCCGAAAATTTACATAATCGAGTGCCTTAGAAAAATACATCGAGGTATTTAAAACTTTGCTGTTTTAATTTACTTTATGTTGTTATTTCGTTGTGATTTTGGAGCCGCTGTGCTCGCACTGATTTATATTTATCAGGCGTTTAATATTATATTATTATTTATTTTTTTTGTGTTGGTGTAGTGTACTCAGGTGAATATGATATTTGTGGTGTTACTCTGAGTGTATATCCACACCGGGCGAGCTTGAAAAATATTCTAGCTCGTATTCTAGCTAGTATTCCAAAGTACATATACTTTGGAATATTAAAATATTCTAGCTAGTATTCCAAAGGTCGTAGGTTCGAATCCCACTGTGGCCGGGCAAATTTTTCAAGCTCGCCCGGTGTGGATATACACTCAGAGTAACACCACAAATATTATATTATTATATAGCGCGAAAGGCCACGCTATCAAAATGTTAAATATAATGCTCAAACTGAAATGGAGTTATTGTGCTCGCATTGATTATATTGTGTGCAAAACTACAGTACATTTTGTAAATAACATGAAATATATTACAAATATGAAACAAAATTCTCATTATAAATACTATTGAAATTATTCTACGTCAATAATTTCAATCATAGTTTAATAATTATTTTCAATCTGTAGTAATTCACCGTTTCCATGTTTTTTTTTATACTTTCAATAAAGCTACAATAATGCTAAATTTGTAGGAAATAACATTATTTAATTATAAAATAGTAAAGGAAATCTAACAGTCAATCGCTTTCGATAAAACCTTGACCTTGTTTATATTACCGTCGCCTGCAACTAACGATGAACAGTCGCGCATAAAAACATATTGCCTATTCGCGTGAGAATCTAAAGCCTGGTTCACATATGCCTGCGACTGTATCATTATGGTGTTATCAAAGTTGAACTCAAGTCAACTTTCCCGGCCTACCGGCGGCAATCGGCGAACAAATGTTAGAGACCTTAAGATTGACGTTTACGGCAAACGTCAAACCGCTAGCGAAGTTTTTGATTTTACAGCTCTATTATTGTAGCTTTTACACCAGTTTTGAAAGATGTTAAACTGATTAAACTTCTGCTCTTTACAATGATTTAAGAAAGAAAATTAACCAATAGTCATGCCATTCACCAAAGCAGTAAATGAAGATTTGGCGTATGAAGTTGACGTTTGACGTATAAATTTCATGCTTTAACGACTACAAGCCCTCGTAGCAGTTCAAGCATGAAATCTATACGCCAAACGCCAACTTCAAACGCCAAATCTTAATTTACTGCTTTGGTGAATGGCATGACTAGTGGTTAATTTGCTTTCTTAAATCATTGCTAAAGAGCACAAGTTTAATAAATTTAACATATTTCAAAACTGGTGTAAAAGCTATTATAATAGAGTTGTAAAATCAAAAACTTCGCTAGCGGTTTGACGTTTGCCGTGAACGTCAATCTTAAGGTCTCTGTTCACATAATTACACTGACCTGAAAGGTCAAGTGTCTTAAAAATCCCTAGTTTTCTGTTTTCTTCTGTTTTTTTCGTCGTCGAGAAATCGAGTTTGCGTTCGCGCATCGCAGGCTCAGGGTGCAACAATTAATCCAAAATGCCATCGATTCTTCGACTCCACGATTCATGTATAATAGTAAGAAGCTTGCATTTATGTACGTAATAGTAGGCTCATGCCATGCTTGTGGTGCATTTTTCGTTAATTAGCCCATATATAGACTTATATGGACTTATACGCACGCGCGCAATTCCGAACTCCAATGGTGATTGTGATTGTGATTGTGAACTTTATTTACCCACGGTAGACTTATCAAGATTTTACATAAAAGATGACAAGAGAATACAATATAGTTACAGATTACAGAATATAAAAGTTAATTAAGATACTAATTATGTATACATACTATACTAATACTAATTATATATTACAAGAATACCTGTTTTCCATAAGTGCCGTGCTAATATATTAATATAAAAATCTAAAATTATTGACTAATGTATAAAGTTGCTGCAGTCTGACTTGAATTTACGTAATGAGTTAGACTGTCTCAACTCAACCGGAAGGGAGTTCCACAGCACAGAACCACTATAGCTAAAACTATTTTTCAGGTAATTTGTGCGCGGTTGAGCTAAAGCTAATTTTCTACTGGCGTCTCTCAATGTATAATTTGTTACGCTACTTCGATCAACAAACATTTCAGACAGGTAGTCTGGCACAAAACCATTAAGAGATTTATAGACCATTATAGCTTTGGCAATTTTTCGCTGAGATTCAAGGTTTTTCCAGCTCAATTTTTCAATTAGATATTCAGCATTTGTATCATAACTAGATGAAGTAAGTACTCTAGCGGCTCGATTTTGGAGTTTTTGCAGTTTATTCGCAAGAGTACTGCCGCAACTATCCCAGACAACGCAACAGTAATCGAAATAGGGTTGAACTAAGCAATTGTAAATAAGTTGCATTGTGGAAGGTGGGACGAATGGCCTTATACGCTTTAATGCACCTATGCCAGAAGCGACTTTTTGCATAATTTCTCGATATGAACATTCCAAGTCAAGTTCTCGTCTAAATGTACACCAAGTGACTTTGTGTGAGAGACTTGTTTAATTGGTATGTCATTTATTGTCGGTGAATGACTAGAGTTGAAAGTACTAATCCTTTGACGGGAGCCGATTAGCATAAATTCTGTTTTAGATTGGTTTAAAGTAAGTTTGTTGGCTACTAACCACTCACTGACTTTAGCAAGGTCTTCGTTGAAGTGATGATCAATGTCATCAATATCGTTACTTGCGTAAGTCAAATGAGTGTCATCTGCATACATGCGTGCACGTGAGTGAGAGAGGCAATTCGGGAGATCATTGATATAGATTAAGAATAAAAGTGGCCCCAGAATAGTTCTCTGGGGAACTCCGCAACGGAGTAAACGATTTGTCGAAAAATGACCATTAACGAAACATTTTTGTTTCCGTTCACTGAGATATGATCTGAACCAGTTGCCAGCAACACCATTGATGCCATATGAATTTAGTTTTCCTAAAAGAATCTCGTGGTCTACGGTATCAAACGCCTTCCTGAGGTCGAGAAACAGGACAGCACTTACGCTTCCATGATCGATATTATAAGCCCAATCGTTAGTGGCCTCAAGAAGGGCGGTAACAGTAGAATGTAGACCACGAAATCCCGACTGACAATTAGTTAACAGACTATTTTCAGATAGAAATGAATACAGCTGATCATAAATTATCCTTTCGAAAACCTTAGCCACTACCGAGACAATGGAAATCGGACGATAATTGTCAGGGCAATTACGTTTCCCTTGTTTGTATATTGGGACAACTTTAGCGTGTTTCCACTCATCTGGGAATACTCCGGAGACAATTGATCGATTAAAAATGTAGCTAAGAGATTCCGCTTTTAAATCAGGGCACTCTCGAAGTAGGCGGGACGAAATTTTGTCCAGACCAGTAGCTTTTGACCTACTTAGCTTGGACAAAAGGACGAAAACTGCAGAGAAATTAGTTTCTTTTAATTGAAAACGGATGTTGTTATTTTGACTAGGTAAATAATCGAGATAACAACGATTATTCTGATTAACATCTACATTATCTGCAAGCTTCGGACCAATGTTAGAGAAGTGTTCATTAAAAGCATCAGCAATTTTGTTGGAATCGTTAATCAAATTACCATCCAAATCAACTTCGTGAAAATGCGAGCTTTTTCGATTTTTAGATGTGAGATCATTAATAATATTCCAGTTCTTTTTCGAGTTGGATTTATTTTCAGAAAACGCACGTTTAAAATAGTTTTCCTTCGCCCGGGCAATATTTTGATTTACAGAATTTCGCATTTTCTTAAAAATATGCCAATCTAAAGGATCATTAGACCGGATTGCCTTGATTTTAAGAATATCTCTTTTGTGCATTTCACCTTTCAAGCGAGATGAAATCCAAGGCGTTTTAGAGGCCTTGACACGCTTTGTGCGTAAAGGAGCATGCTTTTCTACAACAAAATTAAATGTGTTTTTCCAAGTATGCCACATATCATTAGGATTCTTAAATTGATGGATAAAGCCCCAGTTTTGCTGACTAATATCATTACGAAATTTGGCAGAATCAAAGTTTTTAAACTTTCTATAGCTTACTGTAGTATGTCCTCTTGTCGGCATTCTGGCGGAAAGTTTTCTAAAGGCATAAACAAGACTATGATCACTTATACTAATGTGAGAAACACCAGAGCAGACCACTTTATCAGGAGCGTTTGTAAAAATGTGATCTATCAATGTTGACGATAAATTTGTAATTCGAGTTTGTTCAGTTATCAGTTGTTGAAGATCGAACGTTTCAGCAATATCAATGAGCAACCTTGAACTATGATCCAAGGCTGTAGAGCTTAAATCACAATTCAGGTCACCCACCAGATAGTACTCAATATTTTCAGCATCAAGTTTGCCTAGTAGCGTTTCTAGGTGATTAAACTTATCCACGACCGAATTTGGTGGCCTATACCATGTCACTATAAGAAAAGGCTTAAATCTAGGTTTATTGATTGAAATGCATAAATTTTCCAATTCATCAAATTTCAAATCGTATCGTACCGAAAAATTAATGCAACTTCGTATATAAAAACAAACACCACCACCGCATCTACCGTTTAAGTATCTATCGCGGCGAACAATTTCATAACCTTGTATGTGCACCTCATTATCGCTAACCGCAGAATCAAGCCTTGTCTCATTGATAGCCAAAACATCAATAATATTATCGGCTAGAAAAATTCGAAGTTTCTCAATGTGTTTTACTAAACTAGTTATATTAAGTGACGCAATTTTGAAACCACTCATCTTAGGTAAAAGCGGATTTATGTCGCTATTAGTATTAGAATTGACAGTCCAGTTTCAAAATAGCGCCTTTTGGCTGAATGATCAGAATATATTTCACATAGTTTCGTTCAATTTTCAAAGAGTTGTGCCGGTTTCCTATGGATTTTACGTTGTGTCGCACTCTGAACTTTCTTGCGTGTTGAATTAATATGTTTTTCTTCGTGTAACGACTCGAAAACCCCAAAATTTGGACCCAACGAATTTTACAAAGGACAAGTTAAAGGTTCGACAGTTTGACTTTTTAACTAATAAACATCTGTCTATAAATATCCGTTGTAGAGTCATAAACATCCGTGGTGTAGTTGTGTTCATTTTTTGTCGCACTCTGGACTTTCTTGCGTGTTGAATTAATGTTTTTCTTTTTGTATTAAACGACTCTAAAATTTGGCTTCCAAAATTTGGCCGACCCGGCGGATTTATACAATCAATATGTTGTATTAAACGACTTGAAAACCCCAAAATTTGGACCCGACGCGAATTTGTACATGCAATATAGAATTTATTAGTGGAATATAAGCAAGGACATGCAAGTTAAAGGTTCGACAGTTTATTTTGATTTATTGTATGGTTCTCATTTGCCTAATACAATAACATTTAGTTCACAATACAATATAAACAAGGGCAAGTTAAAGGTTTGACCATATTAAAATACATGTATTGAAATTCGCGCAATAGCTACTAGAATTCGCGCAAGTAAAGATAAAGCGAGCGTTCGATCAAAATACCAAAAAGAACTAAGACATTTATTGTATGGTTCTCATTTGCCTAATACAATAACATTTAGCTCGACGCGAATTTTAACTATAGTATCATATTTCATAATATAATGAACAATGTAAACTAGCCAATTCTTTCACCTACAAAATGTCGACAATATACCTTAATACATGTATTAAAATTCGCGCAGTAGCTACTAGAGTTCGAGCAAGTAGTAAAGATAAAGCTTGCATTCAAAATACCAAGACATTTATTGCATGGTTCTCATTTGCCTAATACAATAACATTTAGTTCACAATATAATATAAACAAGGAATAGTCGCTCGATTTGGCTATACTGTTTGCTCGTTTTGAATGTATATTGATCGACTTCAATAATCGATTTACATATCAGTCTGCTCGATTCGAGTAAGTGTTGCCCGATTTGTATCATTGGTGATTTGGTGTTCGACTTATAACTATTGGACCTATTGAATTTTGACAGTAAAAACGCGCGATATATAATACATGTATTAAAATACGCTCAGTAGCTACTAGAATTGGCGCAAGTTGAGATAAAGCGTGCGTTCAAAATACCACTGGTAATGAACAAGAACCAAGACATTTGTTACGAAATCTGCTACAAAATGTCGACAATATAGCATACAGTGTTGGATTTTTCTCATGTGTATAATGTAGCATAACTGCATAACACATGTATTAAAATACATGCAGTAGCTACTAGAATTCGCGCAGCGCTGGGTGCGCAAAATTGCCAAAAGTCGTTTGTGGTAGCTATAGTAAATATAAAATTTATGCTACAAGGGTCAAGGTAATAAATGGGAAATGAACTAGCTATTTTAAAACTGTATAAATGTATGATGATACGTTTGAGATAACATTGAGAAGATGAAGCGAACGAAGAAGAAAAATTCCAGTCGGCGGCCAAAAAGGCCGTTTGCCTTGAAGTTTAAATTGCC